AACCGAGCATCTGACCCTTATATAGCTGTTACAAATTCAGGAAAGTTTGACTTGGTGCTCCTGATTTCTTATAAGTAATTTCATATGTAGTATAATTCTTCTGGCCATTGTAAAAATAGTCAGTTTTTGCCACCATTTTACAACAAAATGCACTGGATCCTAAAATCAAAATACCTGGGTTCTCTTGCCTGTGTTCTGAGCTGGTACGCTTCTCACAAGCATTAGCTTATTTAACTGTGAAATGTGTTTAGGGGTAAGAAGTCACATATGCCACATCATGTTTTCAACCAATAAGCTGACATTATCTTAGACAAATAAACAGATTTTTGCACTCCAATGAAATTAAATACATCTCCCTATGGATTTGAAAAAAATGAAAAACCACTTCAGATAGTCTATATTTGATCTGCTAATTTAGAGTTTATAGATCATGATGAGAAATGTCAAGGAAGAGAGGAAAAATAGTCTTACAAAACTAATGATTCTTAAGTGGAACAGCAAACATCTTCATACACGTGACTAGAAATCAGCATGGTGCTGTGATGTGGTTTATACAAGACTTGACAGATATGACTCGATAAATCTAAAGAACCGCAAGTGGGGCCATCAGAAAATGCATCTTCTATTCTGCATGCAGTCATTGCTCTGCCAAGATAGAGATCTACAATTTGTTCAGCAGAACTATCTAAAGCCCATCCTTCATGCCAGTTGCAAAGAGCTTATTTTATTTATCAGAAAGCTGAAGAATTTATTTTAAAATCAACTTTGATTATACATTGAAGTAATTTCCTTTCATTAGATCGAGTTTTGCCAACACAGAGCTTGGAGATGACAAAGAATATAATGTGACAAAGTTATTTCAAAAGATGTATTTTCTATCAATTCTTCATTTCTTATTGTAGTTTTATTTAAGTATAATATATGTACTGGAAACCTAGAATATCCAAAGTAGTGCTCAGTGACTTTCCAAAGTGAAATGCCTTGTAACCATATCCAGTGGATGAAATAGAACATTATCAGAAGTTTTCCCTGTTCTCTTCTGGTCACTCACTAATCGCTTCCCATCAAGAATAACTCTTCTTCAGAATTCTAACCCCATAGATCATTTTGCCACTTTTTAAATTTTACATAAGTTGAATCACACAGATATGCTAAGTTTCTGTCTTACAACTTATTGTTTGCTGCATTTTAGTTCGTTGAATGATGCATGGCACCCCACTGTGTGAATATCTTACAATGTAGTAAAGATGTAACATGAGGAGAAGGACTGCACACACATTCTTGTATGTGTCTTTTGATGAACATAGTATGTTTTTCTGCTGGGTAGATGCCCAAGAGCAAAATAGGTATAAGAACAGGGTCGCTGGGTTACAAAGTCCTTATACATTTTGCAAAGCTATTTAACTGTTTAAAATAATATGCCCATAGTATATGATAATTTAAAAAAATAACAGCAAAATTAATTGCTGGTCATTTCAGGGCCCCCATTCATGTAGAGTAAGACTCTAGGAATAAGAAAAGGTTTGTTGTTTTAGGCAAGAAAATAGAGCAGCCCAGAGATCCAGGTGACAACATAAGGCAGCACAGTGTGGTAGCCAGATCAAGCCCAGGTTTTGGGTTCATACTCTCAGAATCTTAGTTTGCCTGTTTGTAAACTGGAGGTGCTATTGTCAAAAAAATCTTTAAAAAAAAAAAAAAGGATACAAATAATACAAGGCATTCAAGGCATCCTTATACTTGAGAAAGCAGTATCTCATAGAAGTTCAGAGGTTGCCCAGGTATCTCCTGGTGAGTCAGTAAGCTATCTGAGTCTTTCTTTGCTGTCTGCAAAATCAGGATAATCTTACTATATGATAATAGTATGAGGACTTAATGAAATAGTAATTGGCAAGGTATTTAGCAAGTGAATAATATTCAGAAATTCTCAATATTTGTTAGATTTCATTTCGTTTTTCCTACTTTCTAAGCTCATTATTTCATTTCCTATTTAATGAAAATAATTTTAATTGCCCTTAATATATCATAAAATCTTATTAGAAGATTTTCTAACTGTAACCAATTAAAAAAAAAGTTCCCTAAACTCGTGTGTTACAAATACAAGGCATTCTTATAAAGCATTTACTTATTCATTCAGTCATTTGACAGATATTTAGCAAGCACCAATTTTGTGTTAGTATTGAGCTATACAATGTATGAATGTGAAGATGAATTAGATACATTCCTTCCCTATCATGAAGTAATTCACAATCTGTTAGAAGAGGAAAGATTTGGACTTGAATACCTAAGCATATGAGGCAGCACTATCTATAATTAATGCCACAAATGCAGTAGAAAGAAATGTTATTCAAACATGAGAAAGGAAGCCATCATTTCTGGATATAACATTCAGAAGAAAGAATTTATGAGAGTATCACTTTGAGAGTGATGCATACAACTTTGTTAGATAGAGAGCCAATGAGTCATTCCAAAAGGAGAGCAATGTTCAGAGGGAAAAAAACAAAGAAAGGGCAATTATATTTATGGACTGGCAATTAGTCTAGCCTGACAGAAGTCTCAGATATATCTGTATATCTTTCTATATCTATCTATCTATTATCTATCTATCTATCTATCCATCCATCCATCCATCCATCCATCCATGTAGGCATAGCAACAGGAAACTAGAAATGTAGTTTCAGATGTGAGATGCTCAGTGGTTTGTGGTTGTTTTTTCTTGACAGACAATGGGGAGCCTTTGCAAAAATTTATAGAATGAATGCCGTATTTAAGTTGTTTTAGTAAGATATCTAAGAAGCAGGATACATAGCCGTCTGGAAGATGTTAGAAAGGCCTAAGACTCATTATGAAGCTGTTTGACAATTCAGATGTGAGGTCATGAAGAAGAGAATTAATATTTGACTCTGGGGAATAGGAAGGTAGCCAGGGATTGAAAAGACATTGTGGAAGAAAAATCAAATCAACAATTTATGGGAACTTACTGGATAAGGAAGTTATGCATGGGACATAAAGGTCCATGGAAGATTTTTTTTTTTTAATTTGAGTTAGTTGACACATGAAGCACAATGATTTTTAAGAAGAAAGCTATAGAAGATTAGCACATACAGAACTTTGTTATAAGAGGAAAGTAGTTGGAGGGTTACAGTGCCTCTTTATGTAGTAAAAAGAATGAAAGAAGGACAATGGCTTCACAGAGTAGTACAGCAGGGAGCTTAGTGATTAGGAGCTCAGAACTCTGAAGCCAGACCTTCTGAGTCCAAATTCTGGTTCTGCCACTTAGTTGCTGTATGACTAAAAGCTAGGTACTTAAAGTTTCTAAGCCTCAGTTCTCTTATTAGTGAAATAGGCATAATAATTATATCTAACCCATGAGCTGAACAGTTGGAATTCATTACAAATTCCCTAAAAAATTTTGTGCTTATTAGAGTAAGACTGAGAGCTCTATTAGAGCATGGAGGAAACATGGTATCTAGTAAAGTAGAAAGAAGCAGCTATTAATTCATTCACCTAATTTGTCTCCACTGGAGCCTCCCAATTGTGCCAGGCTCTGTCCTGAGCACTGAGGATATGAGGTGTGTTTTTTTTGTTTGTTTGTTTTAATATTTTATATATTTATTTGAGAGACAGAGTGTGTGTGTGAGAGAGAGATCACTAGCAGGGAGAAGGGATAGAGAGAGAAGCAGACACTCCATTGAGCAGAGACCCCGATACACGACTCAATCCCAGGACCCTGCAATCATGACCTGAGCCGAAGGTAGACACTTAACCAACCGAGCCACCCAGGGTCCCCAAAGATACGAGGTGATCAAAGAGGCAAAATCTCTACTCTCACAGACTTTACAATATGGGGAACACATAATAAATAAGCAAACACAAAAATGCAAGCATGATGGTCATCCACATTAATAAAGAAAAATTAAGCAGAATAAATAGAACAGAGAGTGACCCAAAATGCTGTGTTAGACAATGGTCAGGGAACACCTGTGGTGGTGGCCATTGAACACAGACTTGAATGAAATTAAGAAAAAGCCATGTAAATACCTATGAAAAGAAATTCCAGGGAAAGAGAACAGCAAGTGAGTTTGAATGTGTGCTATGATCCAAAGAACAGAGAGGAAGGCTACAAGGCTGAAATGGATTAGACTAGTAGCAGGAGATGAAGTGAGGGATGTGTCCAGAAGTTTTATCACATGGGCCTGTAGGACATGGTAAAATCATGGATTTCATTCTACATATGATGGGAAGTTAAGAGGAGTGACATGATCTAATTCACACATTGTAAGGCTGTTCTGTAGATAACTTACTATAGGGGAAAGAACTAAAGAAAAGAGACTAGTTACAAGCTTAGAGCTATAGTCTATAATCTGAAATAGTTGGTGGTGGCATAGTTTAGGGCAGAGCCGTAGAGATGGGAAGGTTGGATTTGGGACAGGTATTGTAAGCAAGAGCTATAAGATTGATGATTGGGGTTCCTGGGTGGCTCAGTGGGTTAAAGCCTCTTAATCCCTTGTATTAAGGGATCTGAAAAACTGATGCATTGGGGCACCTGGGTGGCTCAGTGGGTTAAAGCCTCTGCCTTCAGGTCAGGTCATGATCCCAGGGTCCTGGGATCAAGCCCCACTTCAGGCTCTCTGCTCAGCAGGGAGCCTGCTTGGCCCTCATTCTGTCTCTGCCTGCCTCTCTGCCTAGTTGTGATCTCTGTCTGTCAAATAAATAAATAAAATCTTAAAAAAAAAGACTGATGATAGATTTAATTTGGGATGTGATGAAATTTGGATAAAAGAGCATGAAACTACAGTTTTGAACAAAAATAAATGGATGAACCGTAGTACCATTTATTGAAATAGGAGAAACAGAAGAAGGATCAAATTAGGAGGCAGAGAAAGGGAATTATGAAAAGCAAGATTTCCTTTCTAAAACTCTAAATATTTTTGATAATTCAATACAGAAAAGATGAAAACAGAAAACACTATTTCTTCCTTGTGGTACCAATCTTTACCCACCAGGATTGTTGGACTGGGCATCCATAGGAATCATAAGCTTGGCCCGAGTGGCTCGTCGTGCAGCCAGCGACCTTTCCAGAGTGGACATGGAGCTCCCTGCTTCTTCAGTGTCTTGACCTACAGGAAAAACAATATTCCTGAGAGACACACCTTTCTTCAATGTTGCGATACTTTACATAATTTCTAGCTAGGTACACCGATGCCTTTTTCATTTTATTGAGGTTTTAAATAATTATATCTACTTTCTTGGTTACCCAATCAATATAGTCTCATTGCACAAACATTAATAAAATTTACCATAACCCTGTTATTCAGAAAGAACCATTATTCATGTTTTGTTCTGTACAAGGTTTGCCTATGTGTTTAAATGTGAAAGTCCAAAGGCAGATATTAACATGCATATTTTGCTCTTAAGTGGCATTTCATCATACATACTATTTTGTTACCGTCTTAGGAAAATACTAAGAACATCTTTCTCTGTCAAGTCAGTTTTATAACATTTATTTATTTATTTTAAACCACTCATACTTCTATATTCATGAGCACCACCCATTTTATTTTATTTATTTAGTTTTATTTTTTTAAGTACACTGGATGCCCGATGTGGGGTTGGAACTTGTGACCCCATGGTCAAGAGTCACATGCTCTACTGACTGAGCCAGCCAGGTGCCCCAGTTTTATCATTTTTAACAGTTCCACAGATATCTTGTTGAATGAATTTACCACAAATTATGCAACTAGTACTTAAAGCCCAAAGGCATTATATCTTATGATAAAAACACAGGGAATGAACTATATTTTTCAAAAGTAAGGCTAGGTATATTTACATAAATTTATTACAATTCCATAAAATACCACACTACAGAATCACCAAAAATAATAAGAAATATATGTGTAGATTTAAAATGTTAACAAAAGTATATGTTGAAAACAATAAAACTGAAGTTCTGAAGAGCACCGTATGTGCCCATGTGTGTAACACACATATAAAAGCATGTTGTGTACATACACATTTCTGTGTATGGGCATCTGTATATAAACATATGTATCTGTACATAATATATGTATATATATTATATATCTGTACATAATGCATATGTATATAGGTGTGTTTATGTATCTCTATAAATATGTGTCCATATATATCTGTATAGAAAAGTTACAAACAAAATTCTCAACATTGCCGTCCTTTCATGAAAGGGATAAGGAATTTGGGGATGATGAAAAGGCAAACACCCTTTTTGTTCCTTTAGGTATTATTTTTCACAACTTTTTGTACTATTTTCTTTCATCTAAAATTACATAAATGTATTCTTTTTTGGTTAAAATAGTAGTTGATAAAATTCAAAATTTAAAATAATGTTGGGGGAAATTTCTACACAGCCATGATAAAGACAATAGCCTAGATCTGAATCTGTCCACACATCCTCCAAAGAATTACACAAACCAAAAAGACAATAAAACTACACAAATTATACACCTAAGGCACAACTGAAAGAGAGAGAATGCAACAAATTTTGAATCTCCTGAAAGTACAGAAATAAATATTATTTTCTAGCCAAGATAAAACTCAAGTTGCTGCCATAAAGTGTTTGTGGGAAGTTAAATATTTGAGAAAACCATACAAAAAAGAGAAGAGGGAACTAAGCCTCCTAAGATTACCTAAAATCATGCACAAAAAAAGAAAGTCGACCCCAAATGTAAAATATTTTTAAAGTTTCCTAGTAGACAAGAGCACTTAAGAGTATACTATTCATTGACATGGAGTTTTGTTCTTTTAACCAGGAGAGTATAGAGAACGCTTGTTATAATGTAAAATATACCCAGCAGGGTATATAATGTTATATATATATTATATACAGGTTATAATGTAAAATATACCCAGCTGCTTTTCCTTTTACTATAGAGTTGGCAAGTAGGTCCTCAAATAAAGACAGGCAAAAGCATCCTCTCATTCTAAAGAAAATAGCCATTGTGAATATTACTCAGCCATCAGAAAGGATGAATACCCAACATTTGCATCAACATGGATGGGACTGGAGATTATGTTGAGTGAAACAAGTCAAGCAGAGAAAATCAATTTTCAAGTGGTTTCACTTATTTGTGGAATATAAGGAATAGCATGGAGGACGTTAGGAGAACGAAAGGAACAGTGAAGGGGTGGAAACTGGAGGGCGAGATGAACCATGAGAGACTGTGGACTCCGAGAAACAAACTGAGGGTTTTAGAGGGGAGGGGATGTGGGGGGATGGGTGAGCCTGGTGGCTGGTATTAAGGAGGGCACGGATTGTATGGAGCACTGGATGGTACATGTAAACAATGAATCTTGGAACACTACATCAAAATTTAATGATGTTTTGTATGGTGACTAACATAACACAATAAAAAAAAGAAAACAGCCACTGTTTGGAGTTAAGATTCTCCTAGGACTTATTAAATGATCAAAAGTAGTCTGGCTGTCCCAAAATGTCATTTCAGTGTATAAAAGATAAAGGGAAATGCAAAGAAGGAGAAATCCTAGAAATAATTGGTAAAACCTTCTGAGGGCTGAGAGGCAGTACTATCACCTCCACTGGGAGGCTGTCCTTCTGGTGCCCTCTAGAAACCAAAACAGTCAGGATAAGCATCTGTAAAGTGTGGAGGTTCTTGCAAAAAATGTTCAACTTTCATTCATTCTCCAGGTATTAGTCTGCTCAGGCGGCAGGCTTGCTGGTCTACCCTGTGTCTATTTAAACAGAGGAAGAAGTTATTAAAGAGAGCAAGACTGAAAGAGGGCCAGGATTGGAATACAGGCTCTCTCATCATTTGGCCTGGGTCAAGTGAGCCCTTGAAAAGTTGCTCAAGCTTGAGTCATCTTCCTGGAATTCACTCAAATGCAGCTGACCCAGCAGGGGATAGTGAGGCTGACACAGCTGTTCCCAGTAGGAGTGGGTTAAGCTCTGACTTGACATCTCACATCATGTAATTGGCCAGTGGAAGAATCCCCCAGAGTCTCATAAAGAATTCATACTTGCTTGCGTTTCACAAGAGAGAATTTGGATGTCACATGAGGACAGCCCATGTGCACAAAAAGCAGCACCAAACTTCAAACTATCCTTTCTCTCCTCCCTCTCTGCCTCTTCCTCTCTTTATCTCCCCTCCCTATCCTCCTATACAGCTAGGAAGGACAGATGGGAGGAGGAATGAATTAAGGGGTTTCTGAAACAGACTGTGCCCCCTCCTCTGCCCCACCCCCACAACTCCCTTTCCCTTCAAGGTACTGGAGGCTTTAAACTACAAATTATGACCCCAGTCCTCAGAGCCAAAGGTGAGCTGGCCATAAGAGAAGAAGAAACTTTAATTTCAATTTCATATCACAATTTTTAATAGAGCTAGAAGGTAGTTTAACAACTGAAAATGATGGAAGTGTTAGGGAATCTGCTTGAGATATTTTTTAAGAGCTAGAAAAAGAACACTCAACAATGATAGAAAATCAGTAAGTGAATTCCTTGTTTAAATAACTCTAAGCTAAGAAAGTCTAGTAAACCAGTTACACATTCAAATAACTAAAATATTTAATTCAATTTAAAAACAACAGCTACTCATTCTGCAAACACATCATGAGTAGATCAAGAGGTTGTGTGTGTGTGTGTTGAAGAGAGTTGATTATTCTGCTTCCCATAAACATTTTTAAAATACGAGAATCAACAGAAAATGAACTCTCTTACAACCACTTTCTAGATTTCTTGGTTATTTCTGCATATGGATTGTTCTACACCTAATCATCAAAGAGTAGGCTTTTTCATTGTGATCACTTGTATATCAGCACAGCCTGCACATAGACTCTACCAAGCCAGGCTAGTGGTCATAAAATGTGACTGCATGGGGATGAACGTTCATTGTCACAGTCATCAAGGCCAAAGTAACGGAAGAATCAATGTGCTCATATGCCATGTGTTCCTGATATGATTTTTTAAGTGCAAGAAATCGAGAGCAAATTTAAAATCAACTTACAATTATCCATAGACATAAGGAATTAAGAAAATGTAAAACAGCTTAAAATTTTCTTTGACAAAGCTTTCATTCAAGATTTAACAAAAAGCAATAAATTCATCTGGCTTTCACATTTCAGTATTTCCCAAATGTACCACCTGTTACCTCTTAGAAGTTTTAAGAGGCATTGCAATTATAAAAGGCAGGTAATAGGATGATGGAAAAGAAACTAGGTAGCCAAATTGACATCAGGTTATTTTAACGATTGGTAAATGACCCGCAGATTGAAGGGAAGGATGACCCCACCAAAAAGGGAGTGGAAAACTTCCCGTGGGGTTCAGAATGGAAGGTTTGTCCTGATGCCCCAGGAGAGTTACCTGAATGAGAGGTGCTTTTGCTGCCCAGCTGGGTTTCTGACTGGCTGTGGCTGACTGGTGTGAGGTCTTGACAGCTTTGGATGGGGGAGTCCCTTCCTGCAGGATCAGTACCCGATGGCTTCTCGATATTTTTCATCTCCATTTCTTCATGATGTATCCAAAGATCAGGGGGCCTGAGGTCCTTCTGGCTGCCCTTCCTCTTTCCAACACTGTGGGTGGCCCGCTTCCTATGGAACAAAAAATTAGAAGGTGAATGTTTGTGCATCTATTCAATGGTCTTTGCTCTCTTTTCTCAGTCAATTCAAGTTAGAAGCAGAGAAGGATACAAGAGTGTTCCCAGGAGGAAACCTATGAAATCCAAGAATTGGCAGGTCTGTCTTGGCAGCCTTTCCTCCTCTCCCCTGGAGCTTCACCACATGATCAGAGCAGCGGTGCTAAATCCCCAAGGGCTCGGCTGCCCGCCAGAGAGTGCCTGACTCCAGCTTCACCAGCTACAAATTCTCACACAAGGTGACAATGGGTTAGATGGAGCCAGATGCCAATCTTCAGAGCTAGTCATAAGGTACTTAACTGAAACATCTGTTTAGGAGGTAAATGAAGGAGTTGCTTTGAAGGGGCAAATAGAAATAAAAAGGCCAGAATTTGTGCCGGCCAAGATTGGGGCTTAGAAGGAAGCCTATAGCTCAGCTGTATAATGTAATGTGCCATTTGAAGACAAAAGGTAATACGAGGATATTCTAAGGAGAATAAAGCACTTGTGCCTCTGGATGCAAACACAGTAGGACCCATCCTTTGAAGAGAAAACACAGTCTAGAAGTAGGCTTCAAATATCTCTTACTTTCCTCAGTAAGAATTTAGCAACTGTAAATTCATTTTTCAGTGGTAGTCTCTTTGGGGGGCTAGTGAGATACAAATGTTCCCTACAGGCTAAGTAAAGTAGCATGATATTCCTGCTCATCGTTCTCTACACTAGGGGTCAGTAAACTATGGCCTGTAGACCAAATCTGCCCACGGCCTGATTTTGTAAATAAAATTTTATTGGAATCCTACTGAGCTCGTTTGTTTTCACACTGCAGTATGTTGAGTAGCTGTAACAAAGACCAGGTTTCCCGCATGCCTCACCAAACCTCAAATATTTACTACTTGCCTCTTTTCAGAAAGTTTTCAACCTCTGCTTTACAATTCTCCACTTTTTAAAATCTCCACCTGTAGCTTCTATTATTATTTTTTTTTGGGGGGGGTAATAGTGTCTCTTCTAAGACAGAATTCAGATAGTTAAAATCTAACCTCTACAGAACCCCAGAGAAGTAACTCTTTCTTACTTCCCAACTTGCAAGGAACGGCATTTTGAGGATTAACTGTTTTCATGGTTGCTCAATGGTCCAAAGAAAGCAGTTTGCAAAAACTCTGTAACCTGTACAAGGCCACTGCAAGGGGCTCTGTTTTCCAATGCTGAAATGTACTTTTATGCATATGAGGCAATTAATGAATATTTAGTAGTGTGACCTGTTTTTTGTCGTTGTTGTTTTGTTTTACTTTTTTTTGGTCTTTTTTGAAGCATGCTGATGAGAGAAGACAAAGAACGCCAGACTTAATATTTATCGAGTCGTTTAGCAGAGAAATCATGCAGTATTTTCTGTTCTCATGTTTTCCCTACCACTACCTACCTTTTGCTGATTTCCTGGCAGCAGTCCCACCCTGACTCTAGACAATGGTCTGTAATAACCCTTAGATCATTTTCTTGAGTCTAAGATAATAACTCTCTGCTAACCATCGGTTTCCTGAATTCATTTCCTTCTACTTCACCTGCCCACAGGAAACAATCTGTAAGTCACACACAGCTCTCTATGTAATCCACTCCTGGTAACTTCTTAGAACAATTTAATGCCATTTTTGAACTTGTAGATTTCACCCTGTTATCTTTCTAACAAATCAAAATGCTAAATAACTTTTTAATCCCAGTGCCTACAAGACTGCATACAGAGAAGTACCAGTTCCCATCCCAGGATAAGACAGCTAACCTTTTCATAATAACTCAATATTTAAATAGCCTGTGCGGGAAAACGTGTCAAATAATCTTTGAAACTAAAAATAAATTATGAATGTTTTCATTTACACATATGACTCATTCATTCATTCATTCATTCAGTCACCAGCCCCCATAACCTCAGTACTAAGCTTCCCCAGATGTATTTTATTTAAAAAAATTCCAAACCTGACTGAGGTAGAGATTTTTTGTATGTTGTGATGTATAACCTCCATCTGGGGAAAAAATGATCATTCTCAATGAAATGCATACACATTTTTCTGATGGATGTTAATCAGATCAAGACCTTTCCTGAGAAGCTACTCATCCACTCAGCTGTCAGTCAAGAATCTAAAGACTAAACAGACTTTATTTCCTTTTTGTATCTGTTCTATGAAACACCATCTACTCACTACTTTTGTTTTCTCTACAACGTGTCTTCTCAAGAGAGAAATCTTTGACCTTGGAGAGGCCTCCCTTCCCTACTGGTGGTAGCCTAGCTGCCCATCCAGCAGGTTGGTAATAAAACTGACATCTGCTCATAACTAAATTGCCTGAAATTTGTCTTAAAACCTGCAGGAACATTGTCATCCCAGCCTTCTGTCCATCTGCTGGTTCTCTGACATAATGACTGCTGCCCATTGTGGCCCCCTAGCTCTCTCTCCCACAAATTTTGGAATCTTCAAAATTTGTATGCAGATGAACCTGACCCAATGGATCCTGAAGTATGTAAGGTCCCAGGACCAGCAACACCTGGGAACCTGCTGGAAACGCACATTCCCAGTCTCCAGCCCAGATCAGAAACTTGCAGGTGTGGGAGCCTTGTGAGAGGGCGAGGCCCAGCAATCTGTGGTTTAACAGCCCTAAAGGGAAATCAGAGGCACCTCAAGTTTGAGAAACACTGTCTTAGTGAATTTGGCTCGTTTTTATTTTAAACTTAGTTTTTGTATTAGATATAGAATATGTCACATATTTATCCCTCCCTATACGCATCTTTTCTCACAGGTACCAGTAAACTTTCAGCTTCCAAACACAGCTGTAGGATGCGAGGGTCTCTTCCTCCCCCATGAATTCTTGAATAAAGGCTCTGTGTTCACAGCATCATCAAGTGTTGATGGTTTTGTTCTCTCTCCACCTTATCTCTCTCCCTATTTTTCTTTCACCCTCTCTCATCCATCTCATCCTACTTTTGTCCAGACTGCCTTCACAACTATTTAGTTCAAACTACTTACTCTTAAAGATTTTCTTGACACGTCTCTTCTTCAGGAAGCCTTCCCGACTCTGTTAGGTCAGTGTAATCTTAGCATATATAAATCATTTTCCTTGTCTCTTTCTTTACCACTCATCTTGCATTGATTCCTGTCTGTTTTACAGAGCTGGCCAGATGCTCCCAGTGTGTGAATTGGTTTCCTCATGAAACTGGAGGAAATTCTGTTTCTTTCACTTGTCCAATGTCATCCATTGTTTTACATTATTCATATATTTCCTCAACATTTACAGAATACTGAGTACGTGTCAAGAAATTTGGTAAGCCCTAGGAATGCAAAGATAGGTGAGACATTGGGAGCTTAATGAATGAATGAAAAATGGCATGGCTACTGTGAATTTCTGCATTGTGGGAGGGTGGAGCAACCACAGGGACTGGCAGCTGGTAAAGCTGAAAAAGTGCAGGAACTAAACCACAGAGGGCCTTGCCTCTAACAGAAACATTTTTTTTTTTTTTAAGATTTTATTTATTTATAAAAAAAAAAAAAAAAAAAAAAAGATTTTATCTATTTATTTGACAGACAGAGATCACAAGTAGGCAGAGAGACAGGCAGAGAGAGAGGAGGAAGCAGGCTCCCTGCTGAGCAGAGAGCCCGATGCGGGGCCTGATCCCAGGACCCTGAGATCATGACCTGAGCAGAAGGCAGAGGCTTAACCCACTGAGCCACCCAGGTGCCCCTAACAGAAATATTTTTAGTGATATCAGGAAGTCAGTAGAGGAATTGCAGAAAGATCTTTAGCTCAAGAGTTAACATTAATCAGATTTGTTACTTTGTATCATGCAGATGACATACTAAGCACATAGTAATTACTTGAATTAAATAATAAGAATTTTTCATTATCAACTTCAAAGGATTTTTTTTTTTTTGCAGGGTTCTCTGATTCTTGATTGTCCTCTCTGTTCCTTACTTTGCACATAACCTATTACTTTAAGAGAAGTTTGTTTCCTTTTCACTTTTAATTAGGATATGAAGGGGTAAAAACCAACACTGGGTTAGGATCCATTTCATTCAAGGCTGCACCCTTTGAAATTCTAAAATACTATCATCTCATAGATTCTTTTGCCACATTGTAATAAATTATTATTTTTTTACATTGCAATAAGTTATTAAATTCCCTTCTGTGCTTAGGCATCCTCTGTTCAAGTTGTTGACAGGAGGCTGACAAATAGCTCTGTACTAATTCTTCTGGTCAGATACACGTGTGCTCAAGATCTGCTAGGAGGTTGAAGCAAGGACACTTTGCCCTACTGGGGATTTACAAAAGATTTCGAAAGGAAGAAGGCCTAAACTGAGTGTGAAGAATGATGCAAATTAACGGGGGAAAAAACATATTGGGATGTATAAGTACCTGTCTACTTCTTTCATCCAAATCTCTGCCAAATGTTTTCAGCCTCCTAATTCTCTATAATGATTATTTTTATTCTACTACCTGCTATTAAAAGCAAAACAACAACAACAACAACAATAACAACCACCACAAAAACAAAAAAAGTTGTACCAGAATCCTAGGGAACATGCATTCTAGATACTCAAATAAATCTGCATTTTCTGTGGCAGAATTAAGCTATATTGAAGACCAAATGGGTTGCATCTGTGGAATACTGAAAACCAAATAAGATGTCAAAAATTTGAAAAATCAGTGAAAGTAACCAAACCTACAGTAGATTGCATTTAAGATTTTTAAATTATTTATTCATTTTTAAAGATTTTATTTATTTCTTTGACACAGAGAGAGAGTGAGCACAAAAGCAGGGGGAGCAGCAGGCAGAAGGAGAGGGAGAAGCAGGCTCCCTGCTGAGCAAGGAGCCCGATGCAGTACTTGATCCCAGGACCCTGGGATCATGACTTGAGCCCAAGGCAGATGCTTAACTGACTGAGCCACCCAGGTGCCCCTCATTTAAGAGTTTAAAACATTTGACTCTCAGTAGTGGAGATAATTATTTTTGTCAAGATTTGAATGTAGACTAACATTTAAAATCTACAAATAGGAGGCTTAGTCAACTGGTGACTCTATCCAGTGAACCTTGAATTTTATTTACATATTTAAATTTAGTGTATTCAGACAAGTTGCTTATTATCTACCCAGGAAGCTGCCTTAGAAATGTGATAACCATGTGTCTTGGATTTCCAGGATATTCTCAATGTCAGCTATTTTGTCTTTGGTATCTATAGATAAATTCTAATTTATAGTGACACATGTTCTATATTTTGCCTAACAAAATGTTATTATTTTATTAAAAGGCACAGAACCCCTTTAATTTAAGCTTTCATAAACACATTTTTTCTACATTATAATATTCTACTATAATTTCATTAATTCAAAATGTGAGAGGGGATTCTCTTCAAAGTAGTAAAAAAAATTAAGTTGGTAACTAAAAAGAAAGGCAAAATTATTTTTATTTCATATTAGTTTGAAGCTAAGTGCTATCATACAATTCTATAATTTGATAATATTCCATGGGGAATTTCAATGTTTTAAGATAGAACGAATGATAGAAAGTATTTAGCCCTGTTTCTCATTTCAGGAAACTGACATTCAGGGATTAGGTCTTCCTTTAGGTTTAATTAAACACCATTAATTTAATCCAAGAAGTGGAGAATTAGAACTTGGGTTCTAACTTCCGTTAGTTAATTTATATTATAAAAATAAGATCTTACCAACTGGAAAGTGAATCAATCAGATAACTACATCATTATTAAATAGATAAATTGTAGAATAAAATGTGTGGACACTAACTTGAATAAACTGTTACCAATAGTATACAGAAGTATGTTTCAAATCCAGTGGGTATAATTCAAGAGCCCCAACCCAACGCAAAGACAATTTACATTCTCCAGCACCAACAGATAAAGAGATATTGAAGGATCCCAGGAAGGTGATTCTTATTTCACTTTATTAATTACATTAAACTCTCATTTTTCTGAGAGTTCTGTAAGGAACCTTATTTTTGTCTCAGATTGGAATTGATTTTGCTTTCATCTGCATCATTTAATTTGTTCTAAAAGGCTCAGTGGTGGTGGTATCAGGAGGAAGGATCCTCAGTCAAATCAAAGAAAGCTAAATTAAAACTCAGGAATATCCTGAAGGAGAAGAATTTTTCTTTTTTTCTTCTGTTAACACTACAAACAAAGAGACCGAGATGAACGCCAATGGGTCTGTTACAGGAGAAAGATATATGAAGCAAAACTGTGAAAATATGCCAAGTAAATATTAAGAGACTTTGGGTGAAGGCTGAGGAAAAAATCAAAGTGGCAGGAGCACAGTCATTCTTTGGTTTCCAGTCATTCATGGAGTGATTTATTCTCTCATTCATTTCCTAATTTTAAAAACAAATCATACCCAGGGCTCAGCCTCGACTCTTTCTAAATAAAACCCTCAAGCTCTTAACAAAATGCTTAGAGTGGGATTTAAGACAATTTAAGAGTTTCTCAAAATAGCATCAGATCCCACTGTTGCACTTTGAGAAGACTGGCATTTTCTCTCAGGAAGCAACGTGCTCAGGAACCCGATTCATCAGGTCGATGTAACCCTCCAACATTCTTCTCACAAGGATGAAAACGGAACAAACACAACACCCTGCTACATACAGATGGTTGAGTTAATTAAACTTGGTTTAGGGAACCCATCCCTGTTCTTAAAGCTCTCCTGAGGTAGGGCCAGTTTGGTTTCGAAGCCCTCCCACTTCCGTGTCTGTGAGTCTTTCTCAGCTCAGCCTCAGAGCCCGGCCCCACTGGTGTTCTACGGTGCTACACCTGCACCACACCTTTCCTGGGGTAGCTCGACCGAGAGACTGTTCCATGCCTTCCTCGCTTACAGTTCCCTTTTCTCCAGAGCCTCACTAAGTGTCGAGCGTGTGGAAGTTCTGTGGGTGATTAGGATTTCCCAGAATGCTAACACATGAGAGTCAGTTAAGCTCAGTGGGGCTGGTTTCTTGTCTAAGCACAAAGGATTAGCGCACTAGCGAGTACCAGCTGGAAGATGGTCAGGCTCATAAATGCAGCCAGATAGAAAACGTGCCCTGCCACATACGTCAGTTAAGACTGCATTGACGCGCCTACGTCCCTTTCTTCAGTCTGTACATCTTCCTGTACCCTATTTCTAAACGCTTTACTTCAAAAGTTGGAAGATACAATACAGATCAACGATTGGGTCATAGGAATGTTTCAAAGAGAGTCAAACTAAGATATTAGCAAGGGAAGAGGAACAATTATTTGTTGGAGAATCTTTCTCTGACACTGTGTGTAGCATGTAGTTGTCAAACCAGCAACCGATGGGTCCATGCCTCAGGCTTTCAAGCCGGCACCATGCCTGAGGCCAAAGGAAAAAAAAAAATCAAGGGAAGAGCTTATTATAGCCAATTCAGTGAGAAAGTACAGCTGAAAGGGACATATCAGGCAAGATCTGAAAAGTGCTAGAGAGGCAGAGAGGCAGAGGATAACCAGGATATTATTGCTGATTCCCACAGCTAGCTGCCACAAGGTTAATATGCTGGTTATGGATGTTGCTGGAAGGGGATAAACTGAATTAAAGCCATCTTTCCATTCTAAACTTTGACTTTGATGTATCATCCTCTGCATGTGCTATAACCTGGAATTGCATAATATGAAAATATTTTTAAACCCTTCCAAAAGTTTAATTTCTAAGAATCAAGCACAGCCAGGAAATCCGAACTCTTCTGAATTTCTAGAATCTCTCTTCTATCCTAACTACTATCTCAAACTAAACACTCCACCGTATTGTAACGGCATTGAGTGTGGCAGTCATTCCTGCAACAAACATTGATTCAATGCCTACAGTCTGCCTTGCCAGAATGGGGAAATACTTTCAGAGGAACACACATCTCCAACATTTTATACGTAATTGTTTAAAGGGCCATGAATTGGGATCTGATGAAGTCCATTCTCTAAATGTTGCTAAAGGAACACCTGCCATCACCTGAAAGGAAGAATCTGGCCCAGAGAAGTAAAATCAAGCAGAAATGCCAAGTGGGTCTCCACATGGATGCTGTTATTAAGTCTGCAAGTCTGGCCCTCACTCACTCAAGTTATGGACCTAGAATCAACAAAAGGCAACGTTTTGCTCAGGTCAGAGGATAAGGGAATGTGTGGTGAATTATGAAAGAACACAGGAAGAGACTTGTCAAAAATATAACTCGAGAAGGTGATAGGTCAAATGGTGACCTCTCTTCTCTTAGGAACCAGCTGTTACCTACTTTCTCTGCTGGGCTGAAGAGCGCCGGGTGCAAATCACAGCCACGATCACTACCACCAGCACTGTGATGACGCCAACGGTGATCACAATGATCACAAGCAGGTTGCTGTTCTTCTGAGGAGTGACACTGCCATGTGGGGGGTGCATCTGGCCAATGGGTGGCTCTGGGGAAAGACAGGCAAATGGAGATCAGATTTAGGGAGATGTGACAGCTTGGTGTTTAGCAAGCTGTTAAGGATGTGAAAGTTCCTATTGTTCTGGGCATTCCTGAAGCTGGGAATAAAAGCAGTGAAAAATGAGAGGAAAGATCAGTTATCTACCTAAGATAAATGAAATATATGTCCACACAAAATCTTGCACAGAAACACTCATAGTAGCGTGATTTAGAATAGCCAAAAGTGGAAACAACCCAAATGTCCGTTCACTGAAGAATGGAGAAACAAAATGTGGTAGTTCCATACAAGGGAGTATTACTCAGCTATAATAAGGAACCTACACGTGATACACGCTACAACACGCATGTGCCTTAAAAAAGGTTATTCTATCGGAAAGAAGCCAGACACAAGAGTTCAATATTGTGATTTCCCTTATAGGAAATACCCATAATAGGCAAATCTATAGCGACAGAAAGTAGATTAGTGTTTCCCAGTGGATGGGAGGAGTGAATGGGGAGGGGCTGCACATGGGTATAGGTTTTCTCTTGGGGGTGTTGAAAATATTCTGGAATTAGATAGTGGTGCTTGTGGCACAACCTTGTGGATATACTAAAGACGACTGACTTGGTGCACTTTCAGAGGGTGAATTTATGGTATGTGAGTTCTATCTAAGTTATTTATTTATTTGTTTATTTTTAGAGAAGAATTAACCTACCATAGTAAGTAGAAAGTAGGGAGAGGAGGAAAAAGGCTACTTTGTACTGTGAAAATTCCAGGGTGATGAGAATCAAGGAGTCTGTGCTTTATGAGAAAATACTTTTTATTAGATGATGTGAAAGACAAACTATTTGACACCAATCACGCACAATTTATTTCCATTTTTGTTTTTAAAGAAGCTATCTATAAAACACATTTAATTTTCAACCTGTTAAGAATGTATGAATCTGGGGCACCTGGGTGGCTCAGTGGGTTAAAGCCTCTGCCTTTGGCTCAGGTCATGATCCCAGGTTCCTGGGATCAAGCCCTGAATCAGGCTCTCTGCTCAGCAGGGGAGCCTGCTTCCTCCTCTCTCTCTGTCTGCCTCTCTGCCTACTGTGGTCTCTGTCTGTCAAATAAATAAATAAAATCTTAAAAAAAAAATGTATGAATCCCACTTAAATGCCAATCATTGGGTTTGAAAGAGTGTCATAAAATCCTGATATAAACCTTCTCCTGTGTTGCGATAGTACCTCGGGGTAGACGATATTTCAGTGAAAATAACAGACTAATACGATATTTTTTATAATTTGCTTACGTAAGTGAGAATGGATAATGACTGTTTAAATTGCTTTCTTTAAACCCTCAGTGATCAATTAGAAATACTGTGTTCTATACATCATGTGATTCATTACATGTCACAGTGTTTTAAAAAGTAAATGTTAGCTTATTTTATTTATCACTTAATTTAAAAAGTAGCAGAAAGCAATGAGTTCAGATGTTTTCCTAGACCCGAGTTTGAATGTGCTTCTTTAACAATCTGTATTAGTTTCGGTACCTCCTGAGTGAAATATTTAGGCCGTTGGACCCTCTGTGCCTTTGCCTATAAAATGGAAATAATAATACTTATTTTATACAGCTATTGTCAGAATTAGAGAAAATACATACAAAATAATCAACTTAGCACCTGATGGGGAGTAATATAATTTCATTGTACTATGAAAACATTAAATAAAATGTTGCTTAAATTGATAATCTACCATACCATTTGGGATACTTTTGATGTAAACTTCCAAACTACAAAATTGTTAGAAATAATACTCAATGTGAAAAATAAATTAATTTCTCACAAATGAATAGAAAACCCAGTTCTTGCTTCAAAATCAAAACACTATCTTTTGACAGTTATTTAAGAATCAATGCTTTTTTGAAACAATAGTCACCTAAATTTAAGTTATTGCTGAGTCATTATTATTGGAAAAATATTAAGCCCTTCTGATAGAACTTGAATCTTTGGGGAGAAACTCATCAAAAGTGTTTAAATAGCACTTTCTGTTAAAAGATTCTGCTTCTAGGTGAAAGAAATGATTTCCTTGAAGTAATTTTTACATTTACTACAAAGGAATGAGGCAAGTAATGAAAGGTCAGAACTTTCTGTAGCATAGTTTTACTTACCGTTTAAAAAGTCATTTTACTGTAGTATCTCAATATGCCCTTTCTGTGCTTAATAAATTAATTGGTTGGAATAAATTAACCTTTTATGTGAGAGCTTCCAATGAAGACAGTTGGAGATATCATGGATTTTTATTAGCATGACTTAAATTTAACAGTTCACCATTTCTGACCAACTTAGTTTGAGTCCTACAGAGCAGTACAACTTACGAATATTTTTAAAACCTTGTAAACTAGAATTTTTCAAATTTCTACTCATTTTTTTCCCTTTCCACCCAGAAAGACACCACATTTCAAGTCAGAAAGTAATGACTCTGGACTCTGCTGCACATTAGTGAGATTATATTGGTGCCATTTGCCTCGGAGAGTTAGGGATCATGAGGACTCCCATTATAAATCTTTGACTCCAGGCCTTTATGACTTCCTCATAAAAGTTCCCATCAGTTTAAAACTTGGTATTCAGGGTCTTTCATTAATTTCCCAATCTCAGTTCAAAGCCTGAATAATCAGAATATTTGATATCAAGTGCATAGTTCAGAAAGTCAAGTGGAAAGGACTCTTTTGATATAGTTGACCCTCATTATTTGTAGTAATTTGTTCTATAAAGTTGCTGTAAACACTGAATTAAGGAATACTAAGTCTAGCTTCTGGAGGCAATTCAATGTTAGGTTCCTGGGAGTCTCTGGTTACAACATTTTTATCAGTCAATGCATAACCTTGTTTTATGGGTGTTTCTGCTTAAAGACACTTTATTTAATATAGAATGTACATTCATTAACATTGAACTTACAGTAAACAACATGACAGCTCATGCTTGAGTGACGTTTAATTAACATACACATTTTCTCCACAAGGTACATCACACGGCCTTTCGCACGTAGGAACACTGAGCAGCCCCTCATCACTACATATAAGGGCCACTTAAAACAGTGATCCCCCCACCAGAAAACTCACAAAAATAGGAACAATTGACACTAAATACACTGTAGAAAGGACACCTGTTTATGCTGTGAGAACTGAAACAATAAGGCAGAGGTTCTCCTTGTTCCATTTCGGCTGAGTCTGTGACCACTGAGCTACTTAAATTTTTGGCTGCTCTGCACATGTCCACAGATGACCGTAAAAGCTCTACAGGTACTGATTTTGGTGGCTAAAAATAAATTTTAGCAGTAGGTAAATTCACAAATATGCAATCTGCAAGTAATGGCCATCAACCATGTATGTGGATGCATCAAAGACTGCTCCAAATTAGGAAAAAAATTAGAGCTCAAAAAACTAGATCACTACCGTTAAGAGTTCTGAATGACAGTCTGAGTCCAGAAGAGGCTAGATAACACTTACCACCTTTGGGGCTTCAGAAGAGGAGCTGCATATAATTCAGAGATTTGCAAATATCCACCAGAACACGGAGATTATTTCATGAGATGATGGATATAACACACTGGCCACAGGCCCTGGCCCAGAGTTGGGCCTCAGTAGATACTATGATGTCGTTCAATAAATTCATTCTATGTGATCTTGCCAAATTAAAGAAAAATACGCTGTCTTAATACATCTTTTCTTAGTGTTTTCATAAATAGCTTGGATATCCATTGTTTGAGTAATCAAAGACCTAGATGTGTCTCATTAAAATTGATAAGGAGAGAAGTAAATGTTTAAAAGTCATATGGGCATTCCATCCAGTTTTTATTTTCATGATGTTTGATTACCATAAAAGGTTTCATCCTTTTTCAAATAAATTCAGTAAAAACAAATATATATTTCATAATCCGATGGGCCTAAAGTCTTAGTAGTAATTGGAAAATTGGTTTCGTGAAATAATAATGTCTTTAATTTTTATAGTACTTGGGAGAGAACAGATCCAATGATTGCCTGGGGACTGGGCTTCTTTCCTACAAATGCAGTCTTCACTGATAACAGTTTTATTATTAGAACACTTCGAGCTCAACATACATCTCAATAATTTTACAGGTCTTTGAATTTGAACAGAAATTCCTATGGCATTGAATATTTCAAAGCATCTCCTGCTGAAATAAGGTGCTATATAGTCAATCAGCTGGAAGAAATTTCACAGATAATCTAGCCCCATGTTCCCTAAAATGAAATATTAATCAGCATTATGGGGTGGGGAGGAAGTTCCTTGGTCAATTTAGTTGGAAAACATATTTCTTTTCTAAAAGCTCAGAATTTTGAACATGCTAATGTGAACTGTGGATTGCCAGGAGAGACAGGGCAGGGATGGTAAAGAATATATCCAATTATTCTAGAAAAATATGTTGAAGACCCAGTTAGGTGCTGGGGACATGATGCTATGATCAAAACACTGGTGGACCTTAAGGGCACTATGCTAATGAGATAAATCAGACAGAGAAAGATAAATACTCTATGACATCACTTGTATTTGGAATCTGAAAAAACTGAACTCATAGAAACAGAGTAAAATGGTGGCTAATAAGACGGGTTTGGGGGAAATGAGGAGGTATTGATCAAAGGGTATAAATTTCCAGTTACCAGAAGAATAAATTCTGGGGTTACAATGTACGTCATGGTGATTACAGTTAATAATACTGTGCTGTATACTTGTAAGTTGCTCAGAGTGTAGATACTAAATTTTTTTACTACAACAAATAAACGGTAATTATGTGATGGGATGGGGTTGTCAGCTAAAGCTATGGTGGTGATTGTTTCTACATATAAAAGTCTATCAAATTTACACACTGTACATCTTAAACTTATGCAAAGTTATTTATCTACTATACCTCAGTAAAGCTGAGGGGCTTAGGGGGACAGAATTCATTCAAGTATTCAAGAAGGCAGAAAGGAAATTCTAAGAGGCACACATAGTTGTGATGTAGCCATAA